TTTTTTTTTTTTTTGGTTTTTCGAGACAGGGTCTCACTATGTAGTTAAGACTGACCTGGAACTCACTATGTAGCCCAGGCTGGTCTGAACTCACAGCGATCCTCCGGCCTCAGCCTCCCGAGTGCTGGGATTACAGGCATGCGCCACCACGCCCGGCGGTATCTTATTTTCTTTCAAATAAATGCAGTCAGCTCTTCATGGATGGTGACAGCTTAACTTGGACTATACAGGGTTAAGTACTGAGTTACGCTTGGCACCTAACTCAGAGGCAAAAGCTGGGAGAAATGAGTTGAGTTAAATACACCCAAGAAGCTGACGTGGGTAGAATTTCTTCTTCCTGACCTGCTAACAACTGTGAAAAAGGGACATTTTAGGGATGGCAGTTACTGAAATGCTTCAGTGGGGCATAGCCCCTGGGAGCCACAACTTGGCTTGGAGGCCAGGCCTGGGGAGCTCCGAGGGTGTGGACAGTTGACTGCCAGGAAAAGCGGGGCTGCCGGGTCAGGGGAGAGGACAACAGCTGCTCATCGGAGCAGTTCTGATTGCTGTGTTTACTCTCTCTTCTTGCCCACTGTAATTAAAGCCTTCCAACATGACGCTGGCTTCCTGAGGAAGCCAGAATTTACAAAAACAGGCAAGAAACAAACACAAAACAGCAGAGATGCGTGGTTGCGATGTAGGTATGTTTTAAATCATAAAGCAATTAATTGTGTCTTGAGGTCACTGGTGCTGGTTTAAAGTACCAAATCACCCATTACAGCCCTGGCAGGAGGTGCTCTTCTAACAAAATAAGAGAAAATAAAAAAACCAAAATGTGCTCACCACAGTAGATATGCTCATGTAGGGTCTCCACTGGCCCAGCCTCTGCCTTACTCCTGCCACAGGGGAAACGCTCCCCTCAGAAATCCTCTCCACTTTTCCCCCTACCTCACTCCCTCTTCATCGTGCCTCTTGATCCCTTCCCCTAACAGACTACATAGAATCCATGGAGCAGAATAATTCAGTTGTCTTATTTCCTCTCAAAGGATGTGAACTTCCACTCCACAAATGGCTTTGACAGTATTCTCATTGCTAGCTGACATCAAGAGACACGGACCCTAAAGAGGGAGCACTCAATAACTATTAAGCTCCAGTCTCTGAGCTGCTTCCGTCCCCTCTCCCTCCAGCCCCACGCCCTCGCCTACCTTTCCCCTTCTTCCCAAGCATCCTGCTTACCAGCAGTGCACCCTGCAGCCCCTCCTCGCCTGACAGGTGAGGCCCATCTATCTGCCTTCAACCGCTGCTAGCAAGAAAATTCTTGAGGCCTCTAGGAGTGTTCGCTCTCCTTGTAATCTGATTAGTCCCCTCACCTACCCAGAGGAGCCAGATTTTGGTGTTACTGAGCTATCTGGAGGGAGGAGAAATTGTCAGACATCACTTAAAAAGCCCTGTCCCTTGGTCGCCTGGGATCTGCCAGGAGAAATTAATCTTCCAGCTATTTAAGGTAATTTCTTTTCCATCATCCTTTGTCAAGACAACTGTACTGGGAAATGAATCTGAAGGGAGTCCCTGAACCGGTCTACTCCACTCAGCACATCTCTGCTGTGCAGCATCCATCATCCCCACACAAGCAGAGGTGACGTGGCTGCAAAGCCAGCTCCCGCAAGTACCAGCAGCAAGAAATCACAAACGCGCAAGGCGGATAGCACTGGCCTAAGGACCGGCAATTTTTCCGTACCTCTGCTCTATTTTCTTTCTAGAAGACATTGATCTCTTCCCACATGAGCCGAGAAGAGAGAACAGGCTGGGAGCTTATGCCTGTTCTCTTGAACATGAATCTGGCAACGCAGAGGAGGTGTCTACTTTAAACAGGCCACTGCCAGAGCGAGGTGTGAGACAGAAGCAGGCAAGATCTTCTCTAGCCTGAATTACTGGTTCATGAGCTGAGGCTAGGAGTCTTCCACTCTCTGGGGTCATGGAAGGGAACTCCAGCTTCAATGCTCTTTTCATCCCCACGGCTGTTTCCCAGGGCACTGGTTTTCATTTTAAATTTTTGTTGTTGTTTGCGTTTTAGACAGGGTCTCATTATGTAGCTCCCACTGACTTCAAAGTCCTGTCATCCTCTTGCCTCAGCCTCCTAAATGCTAGGACCACAGGCTCTTTTTTTGTTTGTTTGTTTTTTGAGAGGGACTTGCTATATAGTTCAGGCTGGCCTTGACTCACTATGTAGTCCAGGTTGGCCTTGAACCTGTAGCAATCCTCCTGCCTCAGCCTCCCAAGTGCTGGGATTACAGGTTTGCACCACCATGCCTGGGTAAAGTACAGTACTAATTTTAAAAGATCTGCAAGCCAGCATCCTAAATGAGATGACTATACCTGTGCTGCTGAATAGCTACCTCACCGTTTGCTAACAGTCTACCCAGCAGACAGAGGTATCATGGCTCCTATTTCAGCTGAAGAGTCCTTAGGGGTCTGTGCTAGACGCTCCCTAGCTCTAGGGGCTCCTGATACACTTTTCAGCAAAACGAATCTCCTAAAGCACAAGTCATTTGTTTTCCAAACTCCCTTCTCTGATCTCACTAATTCCCAATTTCCCTGCATTTGACAAATGCAATTAACAAACCTCGATCAGCTCCTGGCCGACAGCCCTCATCAATCAATACAAGAACTGCACAAAGTGGAGGAGGAAAGGAAGGTGGTCACAGTAGGGGAGAAGAGGCCTGACCCCCTCTATTTCTATGAATGCCCTCTACTTACTTCTCAGCTTCAAAACATGACCCTGGGTTGTCCCCCCTACCAACCACTTTCTTCTTTCTGGCTAAATAAAGCTGGTCCTACTGTATCCTTCTCTCTTGGTTTTTAATGTTTTTGCCTGCCAACCTTCTGTCTTCTCTTTAACAGAAGCCCTTCCCATCTGCTGCCACCCTAGCCCAGAGCCCCCAGTGCCGAGTGTGACAGCTCAGTTTCTCTCTGTGCTCAGCAGGGCCTCTTCCCACCCATACATTCCAGTGCCAGTTCTGCCACATCGTCTGGGAGGCTACAAGCTCACTCTCTCCCTGCTCCACTGCACAGTGACATACACGTCAGAGGGCCAAAAGGACAAGATCCCGTGCTCCTGGGCACTACTGCTTTCCCATTCACTTCTCTCTCCCCTCTCTCTCGCAGGGTCCCAGCCTTCCCTTCCTGACTGGTTTAGAGCCCATATTCACCTCCTTAGGCTCTGCTGAATACAATATCCACTCCCTGCTCCCAGCCCAGGAAGAACTCTTTCCTCTGCATCCTGCCCGCCAGCCCTGTGTGTCTTTCCACCTCATCAACTCTTCATCTCTTTGCAAACTAAATCGGGAAGCCTCTTCCTCCTCTCTCCCTCCTTCTCCTTTGTTATTAGCTTCCCGAGTGGGGACATTAATGTACTCACTAGACAATGTCTTCACACCAGTTTCCTATAATTACAGACCTTGCCTCCCACTGTCCTGGCTCATTTGACTGTAAAGTGCTTGGAGGAGGGACAGTGTGGACAAAAGACACAACACAGACTGGGGTCGAGTAGTGAGTAGTGTAATGTTAACAGCCAAGAAAGTAAAACAATTGGTCACTTCTGCAGCAGCTCGTTAACAACTGGTAACTATAGAGGTCGGTGTTCCAGATCTTTAAAAAAAGGTACTGAGACAGCTGAGGTTTCTTCCCCTATAGGATGGGGTGCTATATTATTACCAATGACAGGCACCCCAAGAAACGCAGCAGCCACATCCACCCTCCTTCAGGGGACAGACTCGCTGAACTTGTCATGCAGATCAGCTACATTGTCACTGGAGACCCGGATCCAGCCATCCTCGCGCACATGGTAGAGGTTGACCGAACCTCCAGAGTAGGCATCTCGGTAGGTGGCTTGGTAGATGGCTCGACGGGCCAGGTCATAGGCCTCCTCCACTTCTAGGTCATAAGAGTAACCTCGATCCATGACCCCGTAAGCGTACACAGAGCCAGAACCTACAGAGAAGGCGACCCCGGAGATCCGGTTCCCTTCACTGTCCACATAGTAGAGGCCTGGAAAAGGAGACAACGTGGTTAGCAGGAAAAACTGACACTGCTTTGACATCTAATTCATCTTCAAAGGCAGCAGTTCTCTGTCCCTCTATTCCTAAGGGGAAAGCAACACAAATACTAGAAAAGAGGACTCCTATAAAATTACTTGGGAGACAGAGAAGGGGATAAAAAAGATGTGTTCTGTGCATTTACCAATTCCCTACAAGGAATGTAATCCTGCAAACATGTACTAATAAAAATAAAAATTAAAAGGAAAACTGAAAAAAATAATTATTTGGAAAAAAATCGCAGTGATCCTCCTGCCTCAGCGTCCTGAGTGCTGGGATTATAGACCTGTGCCTCCACACTAGCAAAATGAAATACATTATGAAACTGAATTTTTTTATTTAAAAAACTTGGCTAGCTGGTCATGGTCCAAAGACAGCCTGAACTACATAGTTGAGATGCTGTTTCAAAACAACTATAAACAAAACAAAAAATCTGGCTACAGATGGGGATGGTGACACACTCGAGAGGCTGAGGCAGGACTGCAGGTTCACAATCAACCTAGGCAATGTAGTGAGACCCTGCCTCTAATTTTTAGTTTATTGCAAACTCCCTGGGTTTAATCCCTAATGGAAGGATAGAAGAAAAGGAAGGGCAGTCTGAGCATGTAGCTCAGTGCAAAGACCCTGGGTTCAATCCCTAGTACCACAAAAACAAACATATGGTTACATGAAATTTAAAATTACATGTATAAAGGCTGGGGGTTTAGTGGCAGAGTGCTTGCCCAGGATAGGTGAGGCCCTGGGTTCAATTACCAAAATGGTGCGGGGTAAAAATTATGGCTCATGCTTTCTTTGAATTGATAGTATAGAACAGATGGTGGTACACACTTTTTTTTTTTTTCCTGGTATCAGGGATCGAACTCAGGACCTTGCGCTTGTGAGGCAGGCTTGGTGCCATTGAGCTAAAACCCCAGCCAGATGGCACACACTTGTAATCCCAGCACTCTGGGAGGCTGAGACAGGAGCATCCCAAGTTTGAGCCCAGCCTGGACAACTGGACAACTTAGGAACTCAGTGAGACCCTGTCCGAGGGGGAGCAGAGCGCGCACACATGCACGCACGCACACATAGGAGAAGGGATTAGAGGCCAATCGCCTATTTTGAACAGAAAAGTTTTGTTAGAACACAGCCATACCCATCTGTGTGGCATAGTGCTGTACAAGCTAAGTTAAGCAGCCCTGCAATGTTTTAACAACCAGGCAATGCTCTGTGAAATTTGTCTTAGGGAATTTGGTCTTAGCATAAATATCAGAGTATACTTACACAAACCTAAAACAGGATGTGTGATTGTCATTGACCAGAATGTCATTATGTAGTACACAACTACAGCTGACACAAAGACCCTGTGGCCTAAAAGCCTGAAATACTATTTGGTCCACTACAAAAAAAAAGTCAGCTGATTGCTGGTAGAGATGAACATTTAGACAAAGTTCGAGAAAATTTCTATCAAGACTGGGAATATAGCTCCATGATATAATGCTCATTTAAAATGCACCTGGGCCCTTTTTAATTGTGTGACAGGGTCTCAATAAATTGCTAAATTGCCCAAGCTGGGTTGGAACTTACAGTCTTCCTGCTTCAGTGCCCACAGTGCTAGGACTGTTTTGGAAACAGTCTTGCTAAGTTGCCCAGGCTGGCTTTGAAATTGTGATCCTTCTGCCTCAGCTTCTTGGGTAGCTGGGTGTACCTGTGCCTGGCCAGCACCACTAATCCTTTTCCTATTTCAGGTATCCTCAACTTTCCTAGTATATCAGAAATCATCAAAGTTTTCTTTTTTCCAGTACTTGGAATGAACCCAGGAGTTTTGCACTGAGCTACACTCTCAATTCCTTTTTAAATTTTGAGACAGTCTTGTTAAATTGCTCACTCTGGGCTCCAACTTTTGATCCTCCAGCCTCAGCTTCCCAGCTTAAGAAAAGTATATTTTTTTCAGCAGATGTGAGGAAAGAGATGCATGGGCCTTGTTTACATTCTTCAGGTGATTCTAATGCCAGCCAGGCTGAAAAACCACTTCCCTCATCAGCTTCCAGATTCAGCTGATTCTGACGACCCAAGTCTTTCTCTAGCCAGTGGTGGTGAATGTGCGGTACCAATGAAAGCTCTAAAGGTTCGCAATCACTGCAGCCCCTCCTCAGTTCCAGTGCCACCACCTTGCCTCACGGCTTACTACCTGTTTCCAATTTACCTTTCTGGTTTTCTGTCTCACTACTTCCCAAAGCCTTATTCTTCCCTTCCTTCTTTGTTCTCCTCCCCCCACCTTGTTTTTTTGTGTTTTGAGCCAGGGCCTTGCTATGTAGTTCATGCTGGCCTTGAACTATGTGGCACAGGCTGGCCTGGAATATGGAATTCTCCTGCCTCAGCCTCCCCTTCCAATTACTGAGATTACAGGCATACCCCACTACATCCAGCCTCACTTGACTTCTCAAGGCTTCACACTGAATGGGGTGGGTTGTCTAGGGGTAATCCCACTATCCTGAGCTGAGATGCCCCCCACCCCATGCTTCTGTTTCCAAAATTTGCATGCTAGTCAGTCCTGAAGTGTCTTACGCTGTTTCCACCACCTGGAACAGACCCAATAGCTAAGGGTTTAATACAACACTTTCAAAGTGCTTCCCTGGACAACAAAAAGCATATAGGAACTGTCCTTTCACTCCTTGCAAAGAGAACGATGTCTCAATTTCCAAAATAACAAACTGAGCTGCTTTTTTACATTCACTTTTTAATCCCTTCATTCATTCTCCTTTGGGTTGAAAACTGATATTCCCTGTATTCCTTTCTAAACTCTTTCAAACCAAGTGAAAAAGGGGTAGGTATCATATATAAACTAAGAATTTAATAAACAAGTAATGAATGAAACAAAATAAGGGAAAAGAGTATCTTCAAACACACAGGAGGGAAAATTACACAGAAAGTGACTAGCTGTACTCCAGCTTTACTAAAAGATCAATTCAAAATCAGCTGGGATGGGGTGTAGCTCAGAGGTACAACACTTGCCTAACAAGAGTTGAGACTCCAGGTTTAATCCCCAGTACTGAAACAAACAAGATCATGTACAACTTAGTAATTTAGTGAGCCGTCTCAAATAAAAAAATAAAAGGGGCTGGGCACGTAGCTCAATACTAAGGCCCTAGGTTCAGCCACCAGTACTACAAAAAAACAACCAAGGATGAACTTCTTGGCAAGGTTTATATACACTTAGGCTGGCTCGGCAGTGTGGGGCACACCTGTAATCCCAGCACTTGGGAGGCTAAGGCAGGAAGATTGCTCTGAGTTCAAGGCCAGCCCGAATTATGAAGCAAGACCCTGTCTCAAAAAAGAAAAAGGCTAAAGAATTTCCTTTTAGAGAAAATAAGACTTTAGATGATAAGGGAGAATATATCAAGCAAGGAAAGAAAGGAGATGGCTCAAAAGGCTCCTTCCAGGCCAGAGACTCTAAAGCAAAAAGGGAAGAAAATGACTTCTTTTTTTTTTGGTGGTGCTGGGGATTGAACTGAGGCAGCAGTATGCTACATCCCTAAGCCCTTTATTTTGAGACAGGGTCTTGGTAAGTTGCTCAGGCTGGCCTCCAACTTTCCATCTTCTTGCCTCAGCCTCTTGAATAGCTGGGATTAAGGGTTGCACCACCATACTTGGCAAGAAATAACTTTTTTTTTTTTTTTTTTTTTTTTTTTGTACCGGGGATCGAACTCTGGTCCTTGTGCTTGTGAGGTAGGCAACGAAACCACTGAGCTAAATCCCCAGCCCACTCTCAATGTTTTTTTGTTTTTGTACCAGAGATCAAACTCGGGCCCTTGTACTTTCGAGGCAGGCAGTGGAACCACTAAGCTAAATCCCTGGCCCAAGAAATAACTAATTTTTGAGTGGCTACTACATATTAAAGCTTCACTGTACAACACAGTGGCTATTAGCCACGTATGGCTGGTGAGGACTTGAAATGCCACTACCACATACTGAAATATTTTCTAGGTATTTTGGATTTTTTATGATGGTCTATGTAGTTCAGGCTGGCCTCCAACTTGCAGTGATTCTCCTGCCTCAGCCTCCCAAAAGCTGGGATTACAGGCATGTGCCGCTGTGGCCCAGAAAATTAATTCTTAAAACTGATTTCACTTGTTTTTTTTTCCACTTTGTAAATATGTCCATGAGAAAAATTTAAGTTACATATGTGTCTCACGTTATTATTATTTTTTATTGTTTCTGGTACCAGGGATCAAACTTGGGTCTTTGTGCTTGCAAGGCCATTATTTTTTATTATATAATGCTGGCTAGAGTGTTCTGTCTATCATCCAATTTAATTATCAAATATAACTTTTCGTAGGTCTTTCCAGGATTTATTTTATGAGACAGAGAGAAAAATACTATGTACCAGATATTTGACTAGTTGCTTTATATTTACTAACCCACTTAGCCAGGGTGATAGGAAGAAACAGGATGAGGAAAAAAAAAAGCAACCTGCCTAAAGTCACACAGGTCATCAGTGACACAGCAGGTCTGACTCCATACCCTTTTCTACACTCCAGTGGCTTCCTTAGACAGAAGGCCAAGAACCTAATGAGCCATCGAAGTGAAACATGTCTGTAATCCCAGCACTCTGGAGGCTGAGGCAGGAGGATGGACTGCACAGTAAGATGTCTCAAGCAAAACAAAATAAAACAAAACCCAAAAAACCCACCTAATCAACACACATCCTCAGCAGGGTCACAAAGCCCCTCATCTAACACCCCCCCAGGTGTCAGCCCAAAGATCACATGACTGTAGTTCAACTCACCAGGGCCTCTCTTATCCCAGCCACAGATCATGGTGCCCATGGACAGCCCCATGCCTTTGTACTGATAGACCATGTTGGCAAGCAGCTTGGAGGCCGCTGCTACAGAAATACGCTCCTTATTTCGAAGCTCATAGATTCGACATTGCCGAGCCAACAGCCGCTCCCAGAAACTGCAATCTGCTGCACCTCCAGCCATGGTGCCCAGAAGGTAGGGGTTGATCTCTATCACCTTCTTCACCGTCTGGGAAGCGATGTAGGCACCCGCAGTGGCCCGGGAGTCAGCTGCAACAATGACTCCATGGCGAAACTGAAGAGAACGAAAAATAAGCCACATCAGACCACCAAACATTTGCTTTATATTTTTTTCACCAATGCAAACCCAGCACATCTTTTTATATGTCACACCTCTCACAATATACCTCTCCACAGACTGATGTCAACTAAGCTTCCCTGCAGTCCCACGACTAAGCATGACCAGCATCACATTCGTTTTATAGATGAGGAAACGGGTGCTATGAGATAGAACGACCTGTCCAAGATTTAGGGCTTGTCATTACAGTGCTTGGCCAGGGACCTCAGACTCCTACTACAATGCTCCCTGGACATCATCAAACTTCCCGCTCAGGCCTCAGAGATTCGCTTATCCAGGAGGGGACGTCCATTTTACAAGACCTTTGGTGATCGACCACAATAGCCCTCCCCGGGCCGCGGCCTCCCCTCTCCCACCAAGGAGCTACTACACAGGCGCAGCATGGGGTCGTCGAGGAGTCAACTCAAGGTGCCTCGAGTTCCTTCCCGGGCAGCGCGAGGATCAAGGCTTTCGGGGACAATGAGACAGCCAAACTGCTAAGGTCGGGACGAAGACTGAGTGTCCGCCTGGGGTTGGTGGCCGCGGGGATGGCGACCTACGGTCCGGCTGAAAGGCTGGGAAGGGTGCGGGCATTCGAGACTCCGCGGGGCAAGGAGGTTGCATCCGCACCTTGAAGGCCAGGGTGGTGGTTCCATGAAGCATTTCGATTCGCGGCTCCTCTGGGGCACCCCAGCTGGGCGAGGCCAGGCTCAGCCCATCGCTGGGACTCCCTGGACCCAGGTCTAGTAGATCTGCGCGACCCCCGAGTCCAAAAAACCCGCGCCGGTTCACCGGTAGCGGTCCCTCCAACACGCTGGCCAGCGCCATGTTTAATAAGGGAAAAGGGAACTAACTCCGAGAACGCCTAGCAGGGAACGGCCGGGCAACGCCTCGCCGTAACTGCTTCATTTCCTATTAAATCTATTCTCAGGGGAGAGCCATCTTAACTTCTGGCAACCACTCCTCCTAAAAGGACAGCCAGACGTAGGCGCTCATTTTCACCAAAGAGCGGGCAGGGAAATGGCTTCACTACCTTTAAACTCCTATGACTACAGTGATTGGAAATGTCCATATTGAGTGAGAGAGAGGAAGTCGGCCATCTTTGAGAAGGGCGTGACTGGTTGAAAATCGGTGCTGGACGCTTTGCGTTTAATTGACCCGCCCAGCCCGGAGTCCAGTTTGCAAGTTACTAATCTATTGCTTCGGTACTCGGCTAATGAGACTTAAAATTGCATTTTGTTTTAAGAAAACCCCCTTCCCCAATCCAGGATATAATAATTATCTATACTGAAGCCATTTCCCAGTGGCATTAGTTAAACCCCAGTTTGTGGTAAAACAAAAAACAAAAAATAAAAGTGCTCATTGGGCGCGGGATTTAGATCAGTGGTTCCACCACCTGCCTCGCAAGCACAAGGTCCTGAGTTCTACCCCAGATACAGAAAAAAAAAAAAAGTGCTCTTGTTTGTAACGTCACTCTCCACACTGCAATTATTTAACAGTAACCAACTTTTAAGATTCAGTATTGTCTTCCACCTTCTACTGAAAATTGTAATGACTTGCTCAAAAGGCAGATAAGGAATAAAGAAAGGAAAGCGAAACTCCCAGTTAATCCACCAGCTAGATTCTCAACTCAGCACTTGAATAATTGAGGAAATAGTAATTTATTGTCTCAAAGCCTAGAAGAGCATATGAGACCCCACAAAGATGTACCAAGAGATTCTCTTCTTTCATCTTACCAAGATGAGTCTCTCTATCAGGAACGGGCTATATTTATTGTCTCTTTCTCCCTCCTTCCACCTTCATTTTTCAACTGTTGGGAATGGTAAAAAGCTAGGAAGTGGGCATATGTATGAAATGTTACCTCCTGCTTTACTGTTTTGTGAAGTCAGTATCTGGCCTTCCTTTCTGGATTCCACTAACAACAGCTAATTTCCACTTTCCACTGATTCCCAATTCCTTGCCCCTACTCCCTCTTAGCTGACTCTGCAAGTGCTGTATTTTTAATGCTGAAATTTGACAACCCTTTCCAACCTCGACCATCAGAATGTAATGAAATAGGAGATCTTTGTGTCTCACACTCAGAAGGTGTGGAAAATGCAAAGTGCATGTTTTTATTGACCTTGTATTATTTATCCATCACCTCTGCAATGCAACTAGTCCTTCTGACTTCTTTCAGTGATTCACTCGTGTTTTCTTT